CTTGAGGCACTCACTGATGAAGACTGAATAGTGCAGTCTGCGGTATGGATTACATCTCAATATAAAGAAAACAAAAATCCTCACAACTGGACCTACAAGCAGCATCATGATAAATGGAGAAATGATTGAGGTTGTCAAGGAATTCACGTTGCTTGGTTCTACAATAGATGCCAATGGAATCAGCAGTCAGGACATTAGATGACATAGAGCACTGAGCAGGTGGGCTGCAAAGGACTTCTTTCAAGTGCTGAGGTGCAAACATGTCTCCCTGAGGACTAAGGTGCGCCTGACACAAGCCAGGATATTTTTAATCGCCTCACATGCATGTGAGGGCTGGACAATGAATAAGGAAGACCAAAGAAGAACTGATGCTTTTGAGTTGTGGTATTGATGAAGAATATTGAAAGTACTATGGACTGTTAGAAGAACTAACAGATCTGTTCTGAAGGAAGTGCAGCCAAAATGCTCCTTAGAAGCAAGAATGGTCAGACTTTGTCTCACCTACTTTGGTTATGTTGTCAGAAGGGACTATTCCCTGGAAAAGGATGTCATGCTTGGTAAGGTGGAGGGTTGATGAAAGAGGGGAAGGCCTTCAACGAGATGGATTGACATGGTGGCTGTGATGATAGGCTTGAGTATAGCAAGGATCATGGAGCTGGCACGGGACTGGGAGGTGTTTCGTTCTGCTGCGCATAGGGTCGCTATGAGTTGGAAATGACTTGATGGCACCTAACAACAACAACAAGGCAGGGGGGATTATGCCCATGACCATGTACAGGATCAGGAGACAATGTATCTACATGCATATTTCTATGTTCTATAAAAATGTCCAGGTATATAGTAGAGCTGACAAGTGACAAGGTTGTGGTGACTTCTTGGCCAGCTACTCAAGAGGAAATAAGTAGTAAGACCTGTGGCCTTGGGGCCATGGTCACTGGGGACATCAAGCTCAAATGGCATAACATACTACACAAAAACATTGTTCCACATCCTACTTTGGCAAGTAGTGACTAGGATCTTAAAAGCTTGCAAGTGGTCATCTAGATGCAACAATGGGTCTCTCTTCCTCCAGAGCAAAGAAGAATGAAGAAAACAAAAGATGCATGCAAATAATTAGTCCAAGGGACTGGTACACCAGGCAATCCTCAGTCTATATGACTATGAGACCAGAACTAAATGGTGCCTAGCTACCACTGTCAGCCACTCAGAGGAGGATCTCTGTAGGACATGCTGGATAGAGTGGGAGAAAAATACGGAACAAAACTTAAAAATACTAAAAAAAAAAAAAGGACCAGGTTTGCTAGTCTGAAAGAGGCTGATAGAACCTACTGAGACTATGGCCCCTAGTTGCCCTTCACGTATGGAAGTAAACCCACTCCTGTGGCTGCCAGCCAAACAAAAGACAGGCATATGAGCTGAACGTTTACATTAGCTAGATACACTCCTTTGAGAGATCAATCATGGGAGAATAGAAGGGCTGTGTACGCACAGGGAGACAGCTCAGGGGACAAGAGTACATGGGAGTGAAGGACACAGGGAAGAGGTAAATATGGGGATGAAGTGGAATGGGAGCTACCGTATTGTGAGAAATTGTAGTCAATGTCACAAGACAAAGTGTATATGAGCTGCTGTACGGAAAGTGAATTTGCTTTGTAAACTTTCACCCAGATCACAATAAAAATTTTTAAAAAATAGTAATAATTGAAGGTAGTTACTAAGCTCAGTCTGATACATTAAGTTATACCAGTTCTGAACATGTGACACTATGAGGCATGCTTTGTGTCAATAATAAATATGAACAATGGTTTGGTCAGCCAGCTAGGGGTTAGCAAACTTTTTCTTAAAGGGTCAGATGGCTTGTGGTCTTTGTCATAACTACTTAACTTTGCTGTTGCAGCATAAAATCAACTATGTTGTTGTTGTTGTTGTTGTTGTATGCCGTCGAGTTGGACCCGACTCATAGCGACCCCTCCGTGGGTTTCCGAGCAATATCACTATGGAAGTAGATTGCCCCATCTTCCTTCCAAGGAGTGGCTGGTGGGAAAAGCAACTATGGACACTATATAAAAGAATGGGCATCACTAGGTGCAATGATATTTATACGAACAGGGTGTTTACAGGTCACCACAGTTTGCCAATCTCTAATCTGGAATCTCATACTGACTTCAACAATTCCTTTCATCAAGATAGCTTTCCTTCCTTTCAAACATTTTCACATAAAATGTATTAGTGTTTCATTAAAGGCCTGTAGACACCTGTATGGCAACACAGCAGATACTCTCTTGTTCTATAGGTTAGAAAAGAAATGAAGCTCAAAAGAGTTCAGAGATTTGCCCTAGGAAGCTACTGTTAAGCTGAGACTAAAAACTAGGTCTTTGTTCAGTGTCTCAACTGAACCATTTCAATCATTTTTATAATCCTCTGAATTCATAAGCTCTTTATAGCAGGCTCACCAAATCCACACTAGATTTCAAGAACCTCTACTTATCTGTACATTTAAATTATCGACTTCAATTAAGTCTGAAGTCAAATTATTTTCAGATCCCTCCTCTCTTTACAAAACCTGTCTTCTTCCATTGAGGCTATCTTCTTTTTCAGAAGTCTCCTAAAATATTACTTCATTTTCAAAAGGCCAGCAAGAAAAAGGAAAAGGTATACCTTTGTAAGGGATTGTAAATTCTTTTAATTATTTAATAAGAATTTCTATACTCAGCTATGAGGTGAAAGGATTGGTGCCTATCTTTGCAAAGTTTATAATCAAGTTGAGCAACATTGGGAGGCACATGCATGTATATAAATATGAAATAACATGTATATGAATATGAAATTAAAGAGCAACTCCATACAACCCAGGTCAAATCTAGACAACTTAAAGAAAAATGAAATGAGGTAACTAATTTATAGTAGATACTGTCAGAAAATACGTGCCTTTGTGCTACTGAGGTCATAGATCTTACCCTCTAATTTGCACAGTGAAAGTCAGATAAATAACCACAGATAAGTAAACAGAAGTAACCACAGATACCTCTTTGATGTGGTAATAATATAATCCAAAGGATAAAATGGATCACATTTTTAAAAAATTGTCTTTTCAGATGAGTTTTCTCATATTTTATTCTAATTACTGCCATGAAAAGGTATCTTACTTATATTGGACTAACTTACCTTCCTGGCCAAAAAACAACTATCAAAGATGGACAAAATATAGGCAGCGTTTGCTATGCATAGTAGTGCTGGACTGGAAAAATGACTGCGTAAGCAGAAACTGTGCAAAGTGATCTAAATAAGGAATAGTAAAAACTATGATTGTTTCACAACCTTTAAAAAATTTGCTAAAACATGAAAAACTCTCTTCCTGTTGATGCTTATAAATGCACAGGAAAATTTTAAAGGTAAAACTAATATTTAGATATAAGAAAGAATTAAAGTGCTTTCTTTGTAAAAAAAATTTAGCAAATGTTGTTTGAACACTGATCAATTTTACAACAGTTAAGTTATGAGCAAGCATCTTTTTCATACCTTGACAAACTGTTACATTCCTTTCCAAGGCTGGGTCAACTTCCAGTATTTTATCCTTTGCACTTTCTACGTATTCTGAGAATCTCTTTAATGTGAATTTTGTTTGGTGGCATCACTTCTGGGACATCTTCATCCTTTCCATCACAACTATTTCCCTTACTTATGTTGGTAAGTTCACTTTTACTGAGTTTCTCTGACTGAATATCTAAAGTCCTTGAAACGACGGCAGTGCCACCAATCCCTCAGTCACCTATTTCTTTTATTCTTCCCTTACCTTCTATCAAATCTCACTTCTAGTATTATCACTTTTTGTTTCTTGGCTGCAATTTTATCTTTGGTGGCCTATTTCTCTTTCAATTATCCACCTGTATAAAATGTCTCATGGGTCTATTACTGGGAGACAAGGAGGTAACACTAACTATGTATTTTCCAGTCTATAGAACTGAGTAACAGATGCGCAGAGACACATCACTGGCGACTTTGAAAGAGTGACATGAATAGTCACTTATCAGGATGTACAACTGTTATTTAAGTAATGATATGTAGACTGAAAAGCTAAAAATGAAGTTTGTACTTTATGCAATTACCCATAGTTAATATTTTATTGTAATTGAAATGTGAACTGTGTTGATGAGTGTTACTAAACTGTGGTAACTAAAATTCAAGTATATTAGAATCATGGAAAGTGAGGACTGTTTGTACATAATACAACTGTTTGAATGAATTACAGAGCCATGAACGCAGGCAAGATTAAGGAGCTATGATCTTCAAAAGAGGTAAACTACAGAGGTGAATTCCAGGTTGCCCTTGTTTTTTCCTTGAGTGTCTCTTCTAAATCTTAGCAAAGGGAAAAAGAATTCAAACAAAAGCACACTATTTACTGTGCTAGATTTTGAGCTCTGCCAAACCAGAAATACCTTGGTTCACACCCAGGGTTTTTAGTTGCATCCTAGAGGGCCATGCCTGAGGAATGAGGACCACTAACCAGGAGTAAGGGCCCTTTCCTGAGAAGTTAAATACAGAGAGTTTAACTCGTATCTTATGGGCAAAGTGATCAGTCTCACACTACAGTATCTATGATCAGATAGATGTTAGTAAGGTACAAGTAGAATATAAAAAGTATATAAGGAGGGGTAACTAATGGTAGCTACTTTGCAAAATTTTAAACTTGTACCACCAGTCCTAGTGTTGTTAGTTACCATTGAGTCAATTCCAACTCAAAGCAACCCCATGTGTTATAGAATAAAACTTCTCCACAAGGCTTTCTTGGCTGCAATCTTAAGGAAAGAAGAATGCCAGGGCTTTTCTTCCACAATACTGACAGGTGGGTTCAAACCACCGACCTTTAGGTTGGCAGTCAAACATGCCTAGGGACTTAGAGCCCTTACCACCAATCCTAAGATATACCAATTACTCACAGGGCTATAGTTATATCATAGTTGATGAAGTGGGATTTCAAAATTAAACAGTACTGTATTTACCATTTTGAAATCCCATCCAGAGCTGCTTGTGATCTTTTTTCTGCATTTCATTGATTACTTGACTTTTATGCTTTAAAGCATCCGCTTCTTTCATACATGACATAAAATGGGCTTCAATTGCATCTTTAGATGGACAGTGCAGAAGGTCCTTTTCTGGAAAACTCTATCAAAAGAAAAAACACACATAAAAAACAGGTAAACATGCTCCCAAACTAGCATCTCAAATGCAAACTGTACCCCTTCAATTTTCCAATACTTTTTAAAAAACCATCTCTTACCTTCCCAATTAAGAGACTTCAGTACAGCTTCAAACATTTTCAAAAGTAACTTTAAAATTTTTAGTTATCTGGTACATTTTATACTTTATCCAAATAATCTCTATGCAAGATCCTATGTGTTTACAACAACAGGAAAAAAGACATTAAGGGGTAATAATTTTAAAAATAGTTTTTTGACAATATACCAAGTGTTGACAAGGACATGGAATCAAACACTCACACGCTGCTGGCGGGAATGTAAAATGGTACAAAGACTTTGGAAAACAGTTTGGTAGTTTCATAAAAAAGTTACATACACACCTACCATCAGATCTAGCCAATCGACAAGTAGACATTTACCTAAGGAAAATGAAAGCAAATGTCTTACAAAGACTTGTACAGAATGTTCACAGCAGCTTTGTTTGTAATACCAAAAAAAAAAAAAAAAAAAAAAAAAAACCCCAAGAAAGGACCTCAATGTCAACAGGTGAATGAATAAACAAAGTATGGTATAAATCCATCAGATTGTATACCATAACCATTGTCATCAAGTCAATTCCGACTCAGAGTGACCCTATATACAACAAATATGTATAATTTACTGTACTTCAGTTAGACCTCAGTAACCCAACCTACTGCTATTGAATCAATTCTGACTCATAGCAACCCCTATCATAGGACAGAATAGTATTGCTCCATAGAGTTTCCAAAACTGTAAAACTTTACAGAAGCAACCTGCCTCATCTTCTCCTGCAAAGCAGCTGGTGGTTTGAACAGCTGACTTTTTGGTTAGCAGCCAAGTACTTTAATCACTGCACCAACAGAGCTCCTTAGACCTTGATAAAGCTGTTAAAAAATAGCTTTTAAGGTCAGACAGAATTACTGGTGGTTCAGTGTTAGAATTCCTGTCATCCATAAGGAAGATCCTGACCCAATTCTTGGCCAATGCATACCATGCACAGCTACCCCCATCTGTCAGTGGACGGCTCTATGTTCCTATTACACTAAACAGGATTCAGGGGAGCTTTTGGACTAAGACAGACTAGGGCAGAAAGGCCTAGATCTACTTCCGTTAGCTGTTGTTGTTAGGTACCACTGAGTCAGCTCCAATTCATAGCAACCCTATGAACAACAGAACGAAACACTGCTCGGTTCTGTGCCAGCCTCACAATCCTTGGCATACTTGAACCCATCATTGCAGCCACTATATCAATCCATCTCACTGAGGTTCTTCCCCTTTGTCTCCGACCCTCCACTTTACCAAGCATGGTATCTTCTCCAGGAACAGTCCCTTCTGACAACATGACCAAAGCAGGTGACAGGAAGTCTGGTCATTCTTGCTTTCAAGGATCATTCCGGCTGCAATTCTTCCAGGACAGATTTGTTAGTACTTCTGGCAGTCCATGGTACTTTCAGTATTCTTCACCAACACCACAACTCAAAAGCATCAACTCTTCTTCAATCTTCCTTATTCACTGTCCAACTTTCACATGCATATGAGACAATTAAAAATGGCATGGCTTGGGTAAGCACATTTTAGTCTTTAAAGTCTTTGCTCTTCAGCACTTTAAAGAGGTCTTTTGCAGCAGATTTGCCCAGTGCAATAAATACACTGCCTGATTTCTTGACTGGTGTTTCCAGTGGTGTTTATGGTGGAACCCAGTGATATGAAATCTTTGACAACTTCCATCTCTTCTCCATTTATGCTGCTTATTGGTCCAGCTGTGAGGATTTTTATTTCTTTACGTTAAGGTGTAATCAATACTGCAAACCATAGTCTTTAATCTTCATCAGTAAGTGCTTTAAGTCATCTTCACTTTCAGCAACCAAATTTGTGTCATCTGCATAGCGCAGGTTGCTAATGAGCCTCCCTCCAATCCTGATCCTGCATTCTTCATATAGTCGTAACAGTCCAATCCACAACCAAATCATGGGGATGGCACAAAACCAGTCAGTGGTTCATTCCACTGTGTGTGCACGGGGTCGCCATGTGCTGACAGCTAACTCAAAGGCAGGTAACAACAAGGTCAAATTTACAACCTAGTATTTACATTATACCTTTTAGATAGATAAGGCAATAATCATTGTGCAAATGAGCAGTTGTGTAAATAAGATGACTAATTCACTTTTAACTGAAAAAAGAAGAGAGAATCATAATAGCAAAAACCTACCAAATAATAAGTAACCAGACCAAAACTAACTGTCATCAAGTAAATTCTGACTCATAGCGACCCTGTAAGACACAGTAGAAAAGCCCCGTGAAGATCCCAGGGCTGTAAATCTTTAAGGAAGCAGACTGCCACATCGTTCTCCTGCACAGCAGCTGGTGGGCTGAATCAACCAACCTTTCAGTTAGTAGCTGGGCACTTAAATCACTGTGCCACCAGTGCTCCTTCATATGTGACAGATACTGTGTTAAGACTTTTATCTGGATTATCTACTTTAATCTTCAAAAAAGCCCATGAGATAAAAAAATATTATCATCCCTACTACACAAGTGCTCTAGTAGCATAGTGCCTAAGGCCCTTGACTGTTAACCAGAAGGCTGGCGGTTCAACCCACCAGCCACTCCTCAGAAGGAAGGTTGCGCAATCTACTTCTATAGTGATACTGACTCGGCAACCCAAGGAGGGGTCGCTATGAGTCGGGTCTGACTCAACGGCACATAACAACAACAACTACACAAGTGAACAAAATTAAGGCTCAGAGAGTAGACAAAGGGGTCACATAGCTTGCAAGTGGTGGAGCTAAGACTGAAGCCTCGTGTGACTCAACAGCCCTAGCTCTTAACCACTAGACATTAATACTTCCTCTGTGAGATCTACATATTTCAGATTAAACATTACAGTTATATTCCAACATTATTTTACCAAAAATAAAAAAGGTTATTCTTTAAGTCCTTTACCAAAAACTAAGATTATACTGGCAGAAAACAGTCTACTGGGGTTACTGCATTAATAGACATCATTAGTATCACAGAGCTTTGATACAGAAAGTGGGAGGAAAATTTTTTAAAAAAATCTTCTGAATGACTAGAACACTTATAGCCTGTGCTCTAGCAATAAAAAGGCACCAAATCATCTATGGCTATTCCCAAGAAATGCAAATAATCAGGAATTAACCATAGGGGTTAGACTTAATAATCTGCCTGCTCTCTACTATGTTTCTGCCTTGTTCTGTTCTTACAGTCTAATCTCACAGCTCTGCTGAGTAAATGGTGACTCAGTATATATATTACTTGCTGGGCACAGTAGCCTAGAGCACAGGTGAGTACTTGATTCACGTCAAGCTTAGATCCAAACAGACCTGGAATATATTCACTTCTCAACATCTTTGGTGTCACTTTCCTAGTACAAACTAACAACTATCTGATAATTCCTGAAAAAGAAAAAAACCCTTGTAACTGGATCCTAGGAGCTCTGGTAGCATAGTGCCTAAAGGCACTTGACTGCTAACCAGAAGGCTGGCAGTTCAAACTCACCAGCCCTCCTCGGGAGATTGATGGGGCAATCTACTTCCTTAGTGGTAGTGCCTCGGAAACCCAAGGAGGGGTCGCTATGAGTCGGGTCCAACTTGACGACACATAACAACAACAACTGGATCCTACGCCTACAGTCTTGCTCCTTTAATTAATTTTTCACTTTTGGAGCCAGATTATTCTCTCAATCTTTAGGTTTAGCTTCTCTATTACTTCCTCCATGAAACTTTCTCCATTCCCTTATTTTTTTATACTTGACTCTATAATGGCATTGATTTGACAATATTAGAGCACCTATTGATAGATCATGATGTCACTCTAGTCTGAAAGCTACAGAAGGCAGAAACCAAGACTGTTCTTCCCACTCCTCTATGACCTCTCTCAACAAATTTCTTTTTAACAAGTCAACTTTATTGAGACATGATTCACATACAGTAAAATGAAGAGATGTTAAGTGTACAATTAGATGACTTCTGACACTGTTTAACTGTCAGCCTAAACAAGATAAATAACGGAACATTACTATCATCCCCAGAAAGTTCTTTGGTGCTCCTTGGTAGTAAGTTCCTTCATTCTCACCCTAGACAATCACCGATCTGATTTTTATCACTATAGATTACTTTTGCCTATAACAGAATTTCATGTGAATAGAATCACACAGTATGTAGTATTTTGTAAGCTAGCATTTTCACTTAAAACACCTTTTCAATTCATCCATGTAAAATATGTATCAGTAAAGCATGTATCATTAGTGAGTTCCTTTTTATTGTTGAACAGCACTCCACTGAAAGCACATACTACGTTGTTTCTAGATTTTGGCCATTATACATAAACCTTCTATTAACATTAATATACAAGACTTTTTTGTAAATATGTTTTCATTTTTGAAAACATATCAATGAGATGGGCTGATACAGTGGCTGCAATGATGGGCTCAGGTATAGCAAAGATTATGAGCTGGTACAGTAGTAGGCAGTGTTTCATTCTTTTGTATGTACACAGGATCACTAAGAGTCAGAGCTGACTCGACAATACCTAACAGTAACACTGACCACACAGATATGTTCTTCTGTAAAGTGTTTGTTCAAGTGTTTTACCTACTTTTACCTTTCCATTGGTTATCTGTCTTATCATTAAGCAGTAAGAGTACTTCAGGGTTTGATGTTACTACAAAAGAAATTAGGAAGAAAGGTCTGGCAATCTACTTCCAAAGAATCAGCCATTGAATAACCACACTATAACAAACATGAAGAAGCCAACTAGAAATGAAGGGCACTGCTTTAAAATTTTTATTTTCTAAGCATTTTTTGCTATTGTATAGAAATGCAATTGACTTTTTATATTGACCTTTAACCTCATTAGAGGTTAATCAGAAAGGTTTTCAATCAGAAAGTTGGCAGTTCAAACCCACCAGCCACTTTGCAGAAG